TCTTCCCTAGTCTGGGCCAGTACCAAATATGTTCTTTTTTTTCTACAAATTTGATTACTCTGGGTATTTTCTATAAATAGAACCACATAATATTGCCCCTTGTAATAATCAATGATTTTGGGAGTCAATACTGGAAAAATGAAGTACATAGGACAGAGAATGCAATGAGGTCAGTAAAGAAAAAAAAGCAACATTCACAACATTTTATACATATATGAATATGATTATCTACTATAAGCAAAACAATGATAAGTCCCGGGGAAATGCATCACTGAGGTGCTTTGGGTATGGTAAAGTACTGGGAAACTGTGCACACGCCCATGTCTCTGCACATACATGTTAGCAGGCTGTAGTTTGTGGACACTCTGCTGTAAGGGTTTTCTTTTTCTCACTCAAATGTAAAGCAAGGCCACCACAAGAAAAGAGCTTGAGTTTTCAGAGCGAACATGAAGTGTAAAATAATTTTAAGAGGAAAGGGTAAGCCAGGAAGATGCAGTATGAGTACCTGATAGAATTAAAGATCTCTTTGAGGTTTGTGATCATAAACTTAAAATGAGATAAATCAGCAGGATTTTAAGGCGTTGTTTTTTTTTTTCCCCCTAGCTACAATCAGTTGCAAAAAAAAAGCAAGCTGGGCAGTGGTGGCGCACGCCTTTAATCCCAGCACTTGGGAGGCAGAGGCCAGCCTGCTCTACAGAGTGAGTTCCAGGACAGCCAGGGTTACACAGAGAAACCCTGTCTCAAAAAACCAAAATAAATAAATAAATAAATAAAATAATAGAAATAAAAAACATGCAGAAACTGTGTAAGCTGGAAGATGTAAGCAGATGAACCTATACCCTTGAGCTATAAATAACTTACGGATGGTGTTTCCATGTCCAGTGCCACGATACTATCTGACAGTCACCTCAGGTAACTTCCTACCTGATGCTGGAATGGACTTACTCTGAAGACAAACACTCTCAACAAGAACTACCAGGAACATTTTACAATTTGGTCACACGCATCATCTCCATTCACCTAAGTTCCCAATGATTCTTGGCTGGGGTTGGCTGGGGAGCGAGGATCAAATCTTGTTTAACTCTGAAGTTTATCTTCTTTTACTCTGTCGTTACACTTAAATCTTCAGTTTAGAAACGTAAGAACTGGAGTCTAGGGATGCTGAATGATTTTCCAGGCTGATCCATTTTCCAGTGGTACAGACACTGCATCCTCAGTGGATGCCCGACCATCATCCAGCTAAGCTCCTTTTATGCTTCTCTGCTACTGCCCTTCCCATGCTCCTCCTATAGCTAGCTATATTGTCTTTCCTCACACTCCTTTCTGATAGTTATTATTCCTTCTATTCATGTTATCCTGTTGTCTTTGTACTATCATCCAGCCCTCATCACTCAGGCATAGCTAACTCTGAAAGCCTTCTAATCTGGCCTCCTATGAGTCACTCATAATATTACAATGTCCAGAACAGACACATTTACACGAAGACTAGTGGTTACATAGAATTAAAAGGGTTGAGAGGAAAGGAATGGCTTCCATTGGATCCTAAGGTTCTGAGGGCACAGTAACAGTATTGTAAAAGTAAATGTGGTGACATTTACGTGACTATAGATACATTCAAGGCATTAAACAAGTGAGCTCTATCTCAATGAAGTTGTTTTTTATAAGTACATGTACACATGTGTGGAGGTCACATGACAACTTGGTGTCGATGTCTCTCTCCTTCCATGTTTATGTAGGTTCCAGGGATTGAGCTTAGGATGCCAGGCTTCACAGCATGTGCTTTATCTGCTGAGCCATCTCAATGGCCTTTTCTTTTTTACTTCTTTATCCAGACCACTACTGATGACATTCAGGCTTCTGTCAGTATTCTGATAGTATATTACAGTGGTTTTTTTTTTTATGTATTTCTGTCAGTAGAAACAGAAGTGTGGCTCTAAAAGGCAAATCTAGAGGTAAGTGGACACAGCCTGGCTCTCTTCCATGGGAGCTGCTCTGGTTTACATTTCCATAGCAATGGATGAAAATGCCACTTATGTAGGGCCTAATCAAGAGAAGACTTTGCCAGACTGTGTTTGCCAGTGTGACAGGTGAAGAATGGCACCTCAATAGAATTTTAATTTGACTCACTCTTGATTCAATGTAAGTGTCTTTGCTGGGGTGCAGTAATTTATACCAAGGCTGGTACAGGAGGTCTGCCATGAGCTGGAGGCTACCAGGGCCTAAGTGAGACTGTCTCAGGACAGCCAAAACAAGTGAGAATAACAACAATCGTTTTAGGACTTTTACATGTGCTTAGTAGACTTCTTCATTACTCTTGTTTCTGTACAGTTGTTGGCCTTACCTTATTTATGAACTCTCTATATTCAGGGTGATGCCTTTCTACTTTACTTAGTTTTCCCCCAGAAGTTCTTTTTTGTTTGTTTGTTTAGTTTTTTGTTTTGTTTTGTTTTTTCGAGACAGGGTTTCTCTGTATAGCCCTGGCTGTCCTGGAACTCACTCTGTAGACCAGGCTGGCCTCAAACTTAGAAATCCGCCTGCCTCTGCCTTCCAAGTGCTGGGATTAAAGACATGCGCCACCACTGCCCGGCCTCCCCCAGAAGTTCTTTCCACTTACATTTATCTATCATTTCATTTCTGTTTTTGGATTATGAGATTCAGTTAGGAAACATTTTTCCCATTTCCAGGATACAAAAGGATAATGTTTTCTTCTATGTACATAAATTCACTTCTCTAATTGATTTGAAATTTATCTTGGAGTAAGGAATGGAATAGTTTTGGACTTTTATCCTATGCTAACATAGTTGAATAAGGCTTACTTGGCTGGACATATGTATTTATCCAAACATCCAGTCTATGCCAAAAAGCAGGATGCCAGGTGACTTCATGTTCCACGTCTGAGAATACAAAGCTCATCCTGGAGGATGCAGGTCATCTAGACAATTGCTTCTTGGTGCTTTGAAAGGCTTTCAGCATTTCCGAGCAGCCGTGCATGAGCTATACCTTCTCTAGCTGTGCCAGGTAAGATGAAACAAAGCCAGAAAATACCTAGTCCTACAGTGTGGATATTTCATTAAAATTAAGGTTAAAAATACGTTAGAATTAAATAGGAACCTTACAAAAAGAAAAAATGTGGTCACATCCCTTTGACTAAAATTTAGTCAGTGTGATTCTATGAAAGAAAAACTCAGAAGTAAAGGGAACCCCAGTCTCTGAGCTTCAGGTTCGATCCTAAAACATACGAAGAGAGTCATCTAGTATTTGCACAGTATCATCTACTATTTGTATGTTCTCAACAGTTGATCCTTACTCTACCGATGTTATGTGATAAATGCACTTTGGTATATTAGTGAAAAATTTAACTGACTGAATCATTGGTATAATTAAAACCCATACTAGGCACAAAATAATATCAAAATTTATTCTGTTACCCAGAGAGAAATATACAACGTTGTGACTAATTTAGGTTAGGCATTGTTTTCATTCCCATCTGCTATGTGGAAAATTTGAAATAAACTTTCAGAAAGAATCAAACTTTACAAACGAGGGAAATGGGGCAGATTGTAATCAGATTTCCAGAACACTAACGTCCTCCCCTTCTACTGTCGTCAGTCAGGAAGACACTGGTTTATTACTGAGCATATGTCTACTCTTGGCTACAGTCAAGAGTGAGGGAGAGCTTCTCACAGCAATGGATAACTGACAGTTCCATTGTGGCTACCTATTCACCTCATGTACACCATCTCAACTCCACCATCTGAACTCCCAACACTGGAAAGCCTGTCCTCCTTCAGGCAGTGATATCTATGTGTTGGGAAACAGCAAGGAAGCAGGTGAAAGAGATAGAGCAAATGTCCTGGGTAACATACTGTCGGCTACTGACAATTCTAATTTTGAAGACAAGCAAGATACAGTTTTGGCGTCTGACTTGATCACAGCCTGATCAGGTTTCTGGGACTTCTAAATCTACATCAAATGTTTCGTCCAGACTACCACACTAGTGGTCAGATTAGAATCCTGCATATAATCACTTATGCTGGGATGTGGGGGCTCCTTAAAGGATAGTTCTACTGTAGAATACATACTAAATATAGCACTATGTTATAAGCATGTATTAATACCATGTCAGACAGAAAAAAACCGAAGCTGTCAAAAGTAGTCAAAGCAGACATGGATCAGGTTCTGTTACATGTACTTTTTTTTTTTTTTTTTAAGGCTTTCGAGACCTGGCTGTCCTGGAACTCACTCTGTAGACCAGGCTGGCCTCGAACTCAGAAATCCACCTGCCTCTGGGATTAAAGGCATGTGCCACTACTGCCCGGCTACTTGTACTTTTTAACCATTGGGATCCATTCACTGAAATTGTCCCTCTTCTGCAGAAAAGTGAACCTCAGTGTTCTCCTTTATGGTTCAACACTGATGAAAAACAAGCTCCATAGAGGTTTTTCAAAATAATGGAAAAATATACATTTAAAAATACTAACTCTAGGCTAGGTATTGGTGGTGTATGCCCTAATCCCAGCACTAGGGAGGCAGAGGCAGGAGGATCTACACAGAAAAACCTTGTCTCAAAAACAACAACAAGGGCTGGAGAGATGGCTCAGTGGTTAAGAGCATTGACTGCACTTCCAGAGGTCCTGAGTTCAAATCCCAGCAACCACATGGTGGCTCACAACCATCTGTAATGAGATCTGATGCCCTCTTCTGGTGTGTCTGAAGACAGCTACAGTGTATTCATATATAATAAATAAAGAAATAAAAAAAAAAAAAAAAAAAAAAAACCAACAACAAAAACTCTAAAATCTTAACTCTATAAAGATTGTTACCTGGCACAGGACAAAACGAAGTTGTAAAATAAGCTGATAGATGCTAACTCCAGTTTTATGAGTTCTCTTATCTCATCAATACAGCAGCTCTAATATTTTATAATGCCTGCAGAGCTAGAATCTGGACTTCAAATTATCTTTTAGAAACAAAACTGGACTAGCAAGTGTTTCACCTACCTTTCCATGACAGCTAGGCACTCCTTTCTCCAGGTAAATCTACTCCCTCGTCGAAGCCGGAAGGTTCCGGGTGTGGCGGAGACTGGAGGAGGTGTTTGTCTCCATTCAGGGTCCTCTATTGGAATGGGGGCAGGTCTCATACTTAATGTAGCCCCTGGAATAAACAAGGCATTTTTAAACAAAAACTTCGCAATTAAAAAAATCAGCATTATAAAGATACCATGAAAACAAGACAATGAGTTCTGAGTATGAGCTTTTCTTTGTCCACTGAAACTTGAAGTCCAAGATATTTAATATTGTTATTTTAATTTAAAAAAAAAAATCAAGGAGCTGGAGAGGTGGCTTAGTAGTTAGGAGTAATGACTGTGCTTCCAGAGGACCCTGGGTTCAATGTCCAGCACCTAAATGGCAGCCAACAACTATCTGTAACTCCAGTTCTAAGGGATCTGATGCCCTCTTCTGGCCTCTCCTGGATCTGTACACACACAGTTCACAGACATACACGTAGGGAAAACACCTATACACATAAGATAAAAAATGACTAAAGAAAAATCCTCAAGAGGTAAAAGCCTTTTTCTTCAAAAGCCTGTGAGAGTCACCACATCTGCCGCCTGCCCATCTGCCCATCTGTGTCCCTCAGTTCCATTAATGCACTGCACACAAAGCATGAGACCTACCTCTTCATAGGAAGGCCTGGACTTTCAGTTGTTATGCCTTTTTTGAAATCTCTATACTAGGACAGATGTGGTACTCGTCTTAATCTCACCACTTGGAAGTCAGAGGCAGAAGGATCAGAGCTATTAAGTAACCTCAGATACACAAGACTGTCTCAAAAAGAAAAATGTCGTGTAATTCAGCAGCAAAGGAAATAAGAGAGTGCTTTACAAGACTTCAGTGAGCAGGATTCAGTCTCTATAGGTCTATTACCTACTAATAATCCTATATTATTTCATCTCTCAACCATAACAACTTCAATCTGACACAGTTCACTAGATTAGCTTTTCTCAAGTAGCTTCAACCAGTTATAACTTGCTAATTCTTGATGTATTACATGTCTTTTTCTGTGGCTTGTTCTGGACTTGAGAGGCCACATTGTCTCAGGCTTGCATGGACTTAGCTCACAGATCTGAACAGAGATCATGCTTCCCCAGAGGGCTCTGCCTCCTGTTCCTCTTGTACTACATGCACTGCTAAATTCATCTTTCCCAAACATAATCACAGTTATATCACTCTTCTGATTAAAGTCTTCAGGATGCTCCTTCTGACTATAGTTTGATGTAAACTTTTTTTCCTTTTGAGACAAAGAATAAAGTGGCCCAGAATTCCTTCCTCCACCTCTCAAGTACTGGAAGTATGAGCATGCTTCGCTATGTCTGACTAATCAAAACTCTTAATAATATGTCCTGGAAAGGCAGGTTAGAATTCAAGGGGTTTATGTACATATGAATACATGTTACTCTCACACAATGAATACATGTTTCTTCATAATAGGAACTGTTTTCTATCATATCATCAAGTAACACCATGAATAATGTCACTATTCCAATACACATATCTCTCCCCCTGACCCCCCACAAACCCTTTCTTCGTACTATGTTACTTAGGCTAGCCTTTAACTCCTGAACTCAGTAATTCCTCCTGCTTGAGCATTCCAAGTAGTTGGAACGAAAGGTATGCAAAATGTGGGCATAGGTAACCCCCCTCCTAAAGGCAACATCTTTATTTGTATTTTCTTGGATGGAGACCAATGGTTTAAGGCTAGACTGTCCTTTTCAAACATACTATCTTTCTGTTTCTCCCTTATTAGTAAATCTTTTCTTCAAATGGCACTAAAATATTTCAGATTCACCTCATCTTTAATTATCCTACCTCCCCCCCCCAGATATTATATAGCCAGTCTATACTCAAATTTCATGAATTTTACATTCAAAATAAATCCAGTATAAAAGTTTCTCTTTATATGCATTGCTGATTTAACAGCATCATCTCTCACAACCATAACTGCCCAGGGCAAGTCAGAAGATGAACTTTTACAATAAACTGTAGATCTGGGTAGGTCCTAAGACACCGACAAAGTCCAAAGCTAGATCATAGGGAGCTTGGTACCCTCTGTCTGCATCTCCTTGGATGCTGGCTTATCTGTCCTTTAGGAGTCAGATCCACTGTACATGCTAACCATGTAGAGAGGCTGCATAGAGTGAAAGATGCTCCCCAGATCTCCAGATGTTTCTGCTGTTCTACCCTAGGGCCTGACAGTGGAGGGAGAAGCTACCTTGTACTCTCTTAAGCCAAAGTATATGCATCATGTGGATACTTCTATAGCTATTTTACAGAGAGAAATAAACATCCAGACATACAGTCCCAACAGAGGCATATTGGTAACCAGGCTCCAAGGGCTCCATGGGTCCTTCCCTGCTTCCTGGTGGCTGTGCCTTTGTGTAGTGCTTTCCCATTCTGTACTCATGACTAGACTGTGTGATCAGCAGCATGTGGCAGTGAAAGCATGGCTTCTCCAGAAATCAAACACCAGGGCATCTTTCTTTTGTTTCTTTTTCAGATCACTTGCTCAACGAAGGGGTTGCTAGGTGAGAATGGATGCCGAGGTTCTTGAGGAACTGCTGTCTCTGGTCATAAGGCAGTAAGGAATAGGGATAGCCAACATCCATGTGAATGGCCTTGCATGTGGACCATCCAGTTCTAGTGACTGCAGCCCTGGCTGATGGCTTGAATAAAGGCTCATGAGGATGTTTCTCCTGGATTCCAGATCCAGGAAATAAATCTTTGCTGTGCTAAGCTGCAAAAATGTGGCATGGTTTGTACCACAGCAGATAATTAATACAGGTCATCACAACCAAGTCCAGTTGTTATTTCATCATAGCATCCCAAATGATGAGCATGGTACTTATTCAAATGCTCCAATTAGGCAAAAAAAAAAAAATTCCTTTAAGATAAAATACTTTCCTAATAGTAGAATGAGCACCTTTTCTGTTTGTTTCTATTCTGCTATTATTATTCAGACTTTTGTTAGTTTTCGGTTCTTTTTCTATTGAGCTATAGATTTTAACTGAGTGGAGATGCAACATCAATTATTAGTCACATAGCTGTAATCAATTTTTTACTTGTCATCTACTGTATTTTTATATCATTTTAAAAATCCTAATTTATGATACTTAAGTTTGTAAGCCTTTTCATGCAGCCGATGAGTGTGACTCTTTTGTATCAAGGCTAGTAGGTTTAAATCTCTTCCATTATCATCAAGGCTAGTAGGTTTAAATCTCTTCCATTATCATCAGTGAGTTTAAATTTTTTATATTATGGTCAATAGGTTTATGAAAAGAATTTAGGGACTCAGCAGTTAAGAGCCCTGGTTGTTCTTCCAGAGCACCCAGGTTTAATTTCCAGAACCTCCCTGGCAGCTCACAACTGTAATTTCAGTTCCAGGAGATCTGATGGCCTCTTCTGTCCTCTCTGGGCACTAGATTTGCAAATGGTGCACAAAAATGCATGCTGGCAAAACACTCATACAAATAAATCAATAAACAAAGAAACAAACAAACACATAAATAAATAGTTTCTTTTATCAAAATAACCAGAGGCTGGTTCAAAGTATTTCCAATTTTTAACCAAAGAAAGTAAGGATTACAGCACACAGTAAGAGTCTAGGATAAGAATTTACCAATTTAAAGGTATATAAATTTCGCTCCAAAAAGAAAAATGTCCAAAACAACCAAGCTAACTAACACCTGTTCAAGATTTAGGCAGAAATAAAACAGAAAAGACCATGGGCTCTCTTACTCCACATTTGCCCTGGTGTAGGGATGGAGAGTTTCGGAGTAGAGGGGATGGGGAAGAAGAGAACACAAGATCAGTGAGTTCCAGCGTGTGCTGCTAGAACTGTGGCATATTCTCTCAGGCAGGCATGCAAATTAACAGAGAGCAGAATCCTAAGAGGCTAAAGGAAACAGACACTCAATGTACAATAGAAATCCCTTTGTGGTATTGGGACTTACTGTTAATAATATCAATCATTTTAAAATATCCTGCATTGTCTAGACTTCCTGTAAGGAAGGAATTTAGATTAAAATAAAGAAAGGAAGGAAAAAAGGAAATGAGGAAGGTGGGGGTGGGGAGGATAAAATCCCAGGAAAATAAAGTAGTGACTTAGTGACCTTGAAGGAAATCAAGACTACTTATGTATAAAAAGCTGAAACTGAGTAAATATTCTTAATTTTAAAAATACCACATTAATTTTGAAGTATTTTTTTTCATGTTCCATTTCTTTATCAATGTAGCAGTCATTCAGAATAGCATAAGGAGCCAGGTAGGCATGGTAGCTAGCTGCCAGGGAATGTGAAGTTGGCGATCCCCAAAGCAAGCCAGGTAGCAAGACTAGCTCTCTCTATCTATGAGCTCAAGATTGGCTGAGAGACCTTGCTTCAGTGAGTGAGGTGGAGGGAACGACTGTGGATGATTCTTGTCATCAACCTTGGACCTCCAGGTGCCCACACACATGTGTACCTGCTCCTCCCACATACACCACACACACACACACACACACACACACACACACACACACTAGAAAAAAAATTAGTACATGAAGCACTTTAAATGAATACAGATTTCTTCTAGAAAACCTGGTGTACTTTGCTTTAATTCAGACAGACAGGGAGCAGTGAATTTTGCAAGAAAAGAATAATTTTTTTTGTTTTTTTCGAGACAGGGTTTCTCTGTGTATCCCTGGCTGTCCTGGAACTCACTCTGTAGACCAGGCTAGCCTCAAACTCAGAAATCCGCCTGCCTCTGCCTCCCAAGTGCTGGGATTATAAAAGGTGTGCGCCACCACCGCCCAGCAGAAAAGAATAATTTCAAAATTAAGGCCTGTGACAGGGCAATGCACAGAAACTAGACTGAGGGAATAATGAGGATAAGCCTTAAAATGTCCCTCAGCAACACAGGACTTCTGGGCTGTCGGTAAGGACTACTCCACTTCATACATGAGTTCACACTAAAACAAAATTTGTACTCTGTTTTGGCAAATCTAAACTCATGAGGAAAAAAAAAGCCTGCTTTCATAATATGCTAATAAGCCTTAGGTTTTCAGTGCGTGCTCTTCTGTAGATTATCTTATATACAGGGTTAGAACTGGGTGAGGCCCTACTCATCAGCTAGTAAACAAAGGCTGTTAGCACTATCCACAGAAATGGAACACGGCTTCTCATCTCCGCCAACATCACTCATATGTTTTCCAGAGCTCTGGCATGCTATGTGCAAAGGACAGGTGTTTTCTTCTGACTGGCACACTGACTTATGTGCACTAAACACAAGCCTCCCACCTGATTCCGTTTAATGTAAAGCTACAGATCAGCAGCATGAGCCTGCAGGTGCCCAGCAAATCCTGCCTGCCATAGTAATGGTTGAATCAGACAAGAGAAGGCTGTGGAACTTAATTTGAATTAATAAAGGAATTTTTCTCATATCAAACACACTGAATTTAGCACTTGGTTCTTTAAGAAAACAAGATCAAGTCCATGTGATTAGCTTCCACCTTTTTATTTATAAATATTTTATTAAAATTTATTAACATTTTATTTAAATATTTTATTTATTTTATTTTATTTAGCAGGCTTTGGGATGTGCTGGGAAAGTCCGTTTACCAGAGAATAACACTGTCTCTATAGATATTGGATTATCAATACAAATAACCCTACTTTCTCTTGCTGAGTTTATGTAAAGTGAACCTGGTAAAGGAGAGACTTGTAAAAACTCGGGATGGATCTAGAGGCAGAAACTGAAAGAAGAATCGCACTAGAGAAATGCAACCAGAAGTCACTTAAGCAAAGAATCTATACACACAGCCGGCTTGTTTGCCAGGCATTTCCACAGCAGAAAAGAGAAAAGTCAGCTTTTCGTTTTGCAGCTTGCCTTAATTTTACATTTTTTCTCAAAGTGTATGTGACAAGATGATGCTATTTACATTTCTCCTGATAACCTGTCTGCTAGACAGAGGAAAGGTTATGGTATTAGCAAACTACCTCCTAATAAGCCCACCCATGGCTTATTTCCTACAAACTGCTTCAGGCAAGCTGCAGGACCACACTTCAGGAACTGTGGCCGATCTTCTCTTGGTATCTTAACATGAACAAAATTGACTTTCACATCTCTCTCTCCCTCCCCGCTTTCTTCCTTTCAGTATACACTATATGTATTTTTCAAGCATAGACTACAATGTCTAAAATTCAGAAAGCCACAAAAGGGCCATCATTCAATGGTAAAATGCCTGCCTTGTATGCACAAGGTCCTGAATTTGATCCCAAGGACTGCAAAACAAACAAACAAAGAAACAAACAAAAGACCCAGAGGTTAAATAGTTAAGTCTTTCTAGTCTCCCCTTACTAGCAGCATCCCTCTTCAGAGCTGTTTGTATCAGTTCCTAAGCTAGAATTCCCAATAGCTTCTATACTTACAGAAATCTAAACTGCCTGTGTTCGTGTGCGTATTCCTTGGAAATCAATAATAATGTAGTATATATTGTTTCATATCTTACATTTTAAACTTCTGTATACTGTTTCACTGCATGCAACTATAATCTACACGAACCATATTATAAATAACAATATTCTGCGATAGTTTCTTGTAGAGAACTTAACCACTTCTTGATGAGGTGATTCTATTGGCTTGCAAAGAAGAGCATAAGGCACTCTAAGCAGCTATTTAACAGGTAGAGAGAAGAGAATCCTAGGTGGCATGCTGTATTCAAAGATTAAAGCAACTCCGAAGTACCCACAGAAGAAGAAACATCATCATTCTTTAGACAGAATCAAAGGCTGTTTTAAAATCAACAAAGACACACCGACACCTCCAGGAAGAATACTATGCCACATTACCTCTTAGATTAAAGGTGAAAAGACAGAAGAAATCCTAAATACTGATGGGAAGATTCAACTATTATAAATACAACAGAACTACCATTTGTCTCTTACCAACTTCCATTTTTTTTAGCTGCTTGTAAAATATAACATGAAAAAAATGGAATGAAATGAGTATAGACTGTGGTTTTAAACAGGAGCCAGCAATGTAACTTCAATGAGAAGCCCATGCATGCACATAGGGACACTCGCCCTTGACAAGAGACTACCTGTGCATAGAGGGCTGTTCCCAGTGAGCGCCGTTAGTCTGCCCTGTGCTTCCCATTGGATGCCCTACATTCCAACTTCCCTCAATGTCTCTCAGAGCTGGCTGGGCCTAGCTCAGGTTCCTAGATACATTTAATTGGGAAGTAAGATTAAAAACAAAAATAAAATCACCCCAAGGTTGCATGCTAGATTCTTAGTAGGAGTCCTCAGTGAGCCTAAAAATGCTGCTGCAGCTCTTTCCTGTTTCTAGTGAAGTAATTATGTCAACAGCTTCCACCCTGCCCCAAGCTGGATGGAGTACAGCCCTAAAACCACAGTGTAGGAATTCAGATCAACAACCATTGGTCTCTATGCAAGTTCTGTCTTAGGTACCAAACCCTCTGTAAACACAGTTCCTCAGGTAGCTAGCTGAACCCTCGCTATCAGCCAGTGTGTATCTATCTGTGAAGCACACCAAGTTTCTTTCCTTCTTCATCTAGCTAGCATTGCTGTGAATTACTGGCTTTGGTATGAGTCACAGGAGAAGAAAACTCATCTTCGGGAGACTACTTAGCATCAAGTCTGACAAACTGCTTCAAGAATATCATAGAAATGTGCTGGTCTCATATTGAAACACTAGACAACTGAGCCCTTGGGAATGTAGTTGGTTGGAAACTGCGTTTAAGTGTAAGTTACCTACTGATTTCTAAAGAATCTGGACAAGAAGTAAACAGGAAGTAGTGATGTTTCAATTTTCAAAATGAAAATTAAATATTGACATGACAGGTGCTAACATATATTACCGTGAATTTTCAGTTTCTTTCTGAAATGTGGCTGCTAGAAACTATACACCTACATGGCGTTTGTGTTGAATCTCCCCTGTGAATGGTGCTGCCTTGGAACGTGTAGCAATAAAAAGAATAGAGGCACTTTTTCAAGAGATTTGCTTATGCTTTTAGACACTGCTAGAAAACATGAAAACAAAATGTCAGCTGATAAATGTTGAAGGAATGATTGATGAGATTACTTAATTTTTTATAAATTTCCCTGGAAAAACTGATTGAGCAAGGATCTTCAAGGAATGCTGAGACTGGCTAACACAGGCCCGATCATTTACTCTGGAGCAGAAGTAATCACACAGATTACTTAAAATGCAAAGAAAAGATCACGTCTCCACCTCAACAGCGCCATTGAGTACAGACACGAGCAGCACCACCATTTGACAGGCTTTACGACCATGGCAGCACGGACTTCTTACTAGTCACACTGTATGTGGGACACTCTATCAGACAGAGATTTTAAAAGTTTATGTCATTAAAAAAATAAAAAATTTGGGCTGGAGAGATGGCTCAGCAGTTAAGAACACTGGCTGCTCCTCCAGAGGTCCTAAGTTCAATTCCCAGCACCCATGTGGTGGCTTACAACCATCTGTAACGGGATTCAATGCCCTCTTCTGGTGTGTGTGAAAACAGAACACTCATATAAAATGAAAAAAAAAAAGTTTGAGCAATTTAAGAATCTAGGGAAACATTCTAATTTGCTAACCTAAAACAGATACTACTTATTAAAAAATGAGAGAGAGAGAGAGAGAGAGAGAGAGAGAGAGAGAGAGAGAGAGA